TGGTACAGCCCATCTGGGTCACATGGCACAGACGGGGCACTGCCCATCTGGATCACATGGCACAGACGGGGCACAGCCCATCTGGGTCACATGGTACAGCACATCTGTATCATGTGATTAGCTGTGGCCAACAGAAATTACTGAATGAATAGATTTCATTCAAGAAAAAGTGTTGCTTATAACAGTGACATTTACCATTATAAGCAATCATTGGGAAAAAAAAAAAATCCTGATCACCTCCCCAAGAGTGGTAAAGTGTTACTATGGTAATACTGTATTGCTTCTGGTCACAAAATGTTAACAAAAAATAAAAAAAATCGTAAAAAAATTAAAAAAAAAAAATTTTTTTATTTTTTTAATTTTAAAACTGTGAAACTTTTAATTTCTTCATTTTTTTCAAAAAAAAAAAACAAAAAATGACAAAAGATGACAACTTAAAAAAAAAACTTGCCATGCTTCTTACTAAATACCTCGGACTTTTCTGCTTTCCAAAAAGGGTTATTTGGGGGATCGGGGGTTGTACTGTTCTGGCATTTTTGGGCCTCAAGAAAGGAGAATCAGCCATCACTACATCAGGATTGATCGATTTTCAGATATATACCACACGCTAAACGAGATGGTCCGAACCCGGGGGGTTTGTACACACGATACACAGATATGGTCCGAGCCCAGGGGGGGGTGTGCACACGATACACAGATATGGTCCGAGCCCCAGGGGGGGTGTGCACACGCTACCCAATTTGGTCCGAGCCCGGGGGCCCGCGCGCTACTCGAGAAGGTCCGAGCCCGGGGGACCGCGCGCTACACGAGATGGTCCGAGCCCGGGGGACCGCGCGCTACACGAGATGGTCCGAGCCCGGGGGACCGCGCGCTACACGAGATGGTCCGAGCCCGGGGGACCCGCAGCTACCACGAGATGGTCCGAGCCCGGGGGCCCGCGCGCTACACGAGATGGTCAGAGCCCGGGGGCCCGGCGCCTACACGAGATGGTCAGAGCCCGGGGGCCCGCGCGCTACACGAGATGGTCAGAGCCCGGGGGGCCCGCGCGCTACACGAGATGGTCAGAGCCCGGGGGCCCCGCGCGCTACAACACGAGATGGTCAGGGCCCGGGGGCCCGCGCGCTACACGAGATGGTCAGGGCCCGGGGGCCCGCGCGCTACACGAGATGGTCCGAGCCCGGGGGGAGACCGCGCGCTACACGAGATGGTCCGAGCCCGGGGGCCCGCGCGCTACACGAGATGGTCCGAGCCCGGGGGCCCGCGCGCTACACGAGATGGTCCCGAGCCCGGGGGCCCGCGCGCGCTACATACACGAGATGGTCAGAGCCCGGGGGCCCGCGCGCTACACGAGATGGTCAGGGCCCGGGGGCCCGCGCGCTACACGAGATGGTCAGGGGGCCCGGGGGCCCGCCCGTTAATGGAACACCGCGCGCTACACACGAGATGGTCAGGGCCCGGGGGCCCGCGCGCTACACGAGATGGTCAGGGCCCGGGGGCCCGCGCGCTACACGAGATGGTCAGGACCCGGGGGCCCGCGCGCTACACGAGATGGTCAGGGCCCGGGGGCCCGCGCGCTACACGAGATGGTCAGGGCCCGGGGGCCCGCGCGCGCTACACGAGATGGTCAAGGGCCCGGGGGGCCCGCGCGCTACACGAGATGGTCAGGGCCCGGGGGCCCGCGCGCTACACGAGATGGTCAGGGCCCGGGGGCCCGCGCGCTACACGAGACGGTCAGGGCCCGGGGCCCGCGCGCTAACACGAGAAGGTCAGGGCCCGGGGGCCCGCGCGCTACACGAGAGACGGTCAGGGCCCGGGGGCCCGCGCGCTACACGAGACGGTCAGGGCCCGGGGGCCCGCGCGCTACACGAGACGGTCAGGGCCCGGGGGCCCGCGCGCTACACGAGACGGTCAGGGCCCGGGGGCCCCCGCGCGCTACACGAGACGGTCAGGGCCCGGGGGCCCGCGCGCTACACGAGACGGTCAGGGGCCCGGGGGCCCGCGCGCTACACACGAGACGGTCAGGGCCCGGGGGGCCCGCGCGCTACACGAGACGGTCAGGGCCCGGGGGCCCGCGCGCTACACGAGACGGTCAGGGCCCGGGGGCCCGCGCGCTACACGAGACGGTCCGGGCCCGGGGGCCCGCGCGCGCTACACGAGACGGTCAGGGCCCGGGGGCCCGCGCGCTACACGAGAGACGGTCAGAGGCCCGGGGGCCCGCGCGCTACACGAGACGGTCAGGGCCCGGGCCCGCGCGCTACACGAGACGGTCAGGGCCCGGGGGCCCGCGCGCTACACGAGACGGTCAGGGCCCGGGGGCCCGCGCGCTACACGAGACGGTCAGGGCCCGGGGGCCCGCGCGCTACACGAGATGGTCAGGGCCCGGGGGCCCGCGAGCGCTACACGAGATGGTCAGGGCCCGGGGGCCCGCGCGCTACACGAGATGGTCCGAGCCCGGGGGACCGCGCGCTACACGAGATGGTCCGAGCCCGGGGGACCGCGCGCTACACGAGATGGTCGGGCCCGGGGGCCCGCGCGCTACACGAGATGGTCCGAGCCCGGGGGCCCGCGCGCTACACGAGATGGTCCGAGCCCGGGGGCCCGCGCGCTACACGAGATGGTCAGGGCCCGGGGGCCCGCGCGCTACACGAGATGGTCAGGGCCCGGGGGCCCGCGCGCTACACGAGATGGTCAGGGCCCGGGGGCCCGCGCGCTACACGAGATGGTCAGGGCCCGGGGGCCCGCGCGCTACACGAGATGGTCAGGGCCCGGGGGCCCGCGCGCTACACGAGATGGTCAGGGCCCGTGGGGCCCGCGCGCTACACGAGATGGTCAGGGCCCGGGGGCCCGCGCGCTACACGAGATGGTCAGGGCCCGGGGGCCCGCGCGCTACACGAGATGGTCAGGGCCCGGGGCCCGCGCGCTACACGAGATGGGCCAGGGGCCGGGGGGCCCGCGCGCTACACGAGATGGTCAGGGCCCGGGGGCCCGCGCGCTACACGAGATGGTCAGGGCCCGGGGGCCCGCGCGCTACACGAGATGGTCAGGGCCCGGGGGCCCGCGCGCTACACGAGATGGTCAGGGCCCGGGGGCCCGCGCGCTACACGAGACGGTCAGGGCCCGGGGGCCCGCGCGCTACACGAGACGGTCAGGGCCCGGGGGCCCCGCGCGCTACACGAGACGGTCAGGGCCCGGGGGCCCGCGCGCTACACGAGACGGTCAGGGCCCGGGGGCCCGCGCGCTACACGAGACGGTCAGGGCCCGGGGGCCCGCGCGCTACACGAGACGGTCAGGGCCCGGGGGCCCGCGCGCTACACGAGACGGTCAGGGCCCGGGGGCCCGCGCGCTACACGAGACGGTCCGGGCCCGGGGGGCCCCGCGCTACAACACGAGATGGTCCGAGCCTGGGGGACCGCGCGCTACACGAGACGGTCAGAGCCCGGGGGCCCGCGCGCTACACGAGACGGTCAGGGCCCGGGGGCCCGCGCGCTACACGAGACGGTCAGGGCCCGGGGGCCCGCGCGCTACACGAGACGGGGGATCAGGGCCCGGGGGCCCGCGCGCTACACGAGACGGTCAGGGCCCGGGGGGCCCGCGCGCTACACGAGACGGTCAGGGCCCGGGCGCTACACGAGACGGTCAGGGCCCGGGGGCCCGCGCGCTACACGAGATGGTCAGGGCCCGGGGGCCCGCGCGCTACACGAGACGGTCCGGGCCCGGGGGCCCGCGCGCTACACGAGATGGTCCGAGCCTGGGGGACCGCGCGCTACACGAGATGGTCAGAGCCCGGGGGCCCGCGCGCTACACGAGATGGTCAGAGCCCGGGGGGCCCGCGCGCTACACGAGATGGTCAGAGCCCGGGGGCCCGCGCGCTACACGAGATGGTCAGAGCCCGGGGGCCCGAGCGCTACACGAGATGGTCAGAGCCCGGGGGCATCCGCGCGCTACACGAGATGGTCCAAGCCTGGGGGACCGCGCGCTACACAAGATGGTCCAAGCCTGGAGGACTTGGGGGATTGGGGGTTGTACTCTCCTGGCATTTTTGGGCCTCAAGAAAGGGGATCAGCCCTGGGGCCCGCATGCTACATGAGATGGTCTGAGCCTGGAGGACGCACGCTACATAAGATGGTCCGAGCCTGGGGGACCCCATGCTAAAGGAGATGGTCCGAGCCTGGGGGGGGCCGCACGCTACACGAGATGGTCCGAGCCTGGGGGGGAGCCGCACGCTACACAAGATGGTCCGAGCCTGGGGGATCGCACGCTACACGACATGGTCCGAGCCCGGGTTACCGCGCGCTACACGAGATGGTCCGAGCCCGGGGTTACCGCGCGCTACACGAGATGGTCCGAGCCCGGGGGACCGCGCGCTACACGAGATGGTCCGAGCCCGGGGGACCGCCGCGCGCTACACGAGATGGTCCGAGCCCGGGGACCGCGCGCTACACGAGATGGTCCGAGCCCGGGGGACCGCGCGCTACACGAGATGGTCCGAGCCCGGGGGACCGCGCGCTACACGAGATGGTCCGAGCCCGGGGGACCGCGCGCTACACGACCCCCCCCCCCCCCCCCCCTCCGATGGTCCGAGCCCGGGGGACCGCGCGCTACATGAGATGGTCCGAGCCCGGGGGGGACCGCGCGCTACACGAGATGGTCCGAGCCCGGGGGACCGCGCGCTACACGAGATGGTCCGAGCCCGGGGGACCGCGCGCTACACGAGATGGTCTGAGCCTGGGGGACCGCGCGCTGCACGAGATGGTCTGAGCCTGGGGGACCACGCACTGCACGAGATGGTCTGAGCCTGGGTGACCGCCCGCACTGCACGAGATGGTTCAAGCTCGATAGCCTAAGAATGGGGACCATGCTGCAGGGAAAGGTCAGAGATTGCCATGTTTTAACTTCTGTGACCCCACTGGGGGAGATTTTCCTTCACTTCCTGCCTCTGGGACACCTGAATCGGGAACAGTTTTGCACAGACAGCAATAAAAACCAGACAGAGGCTCTACCTGTAGCTGAGTGGCACCTGGGGGCAGAAATTCTGAATGCACCTGATGACGTCATCACAGAGCCCAGGGGCCCCTCCCTCCTCCTGCAGGTAGTCCAGGACATGTCTGTGAGCAGCCTGCAGCCAACCACTGACCTGTAACACAAAACAACCTCATTAGACAGACACTCCTATCATTCCAACCCAGCTCTGCAGGACTCACACCCACCTGGGCCCCTGGGGGCCTCTCTGCCTCCATAGCTAAGCACAGCTCTGCTCCTCTCACCGCTCCATGATTTCAAATTTAAGGAAGTAATGGCAAATAAACACGGAAATGACGTCAATGAACAGCTTCATTGTACTGGCGGAAAAAGCTGTTCCCGGTCTTCGGCGCCACCTGCCGTTCAAACTACAGACGTTCCCAGTCAAAAACGTAAATTTAAGTATCGCCACCTCGTGTTTAAGACTTGAACTACACCCTTGGGAGCTCTCAGCTTAGTATTTAGCGCCACCTGGTGCTGAAATCCCGAACTGCACCCCCTAATTCCAGAGCCTTGTGAGTACTTAGTATTAAGTATGTGAGTATTTATATGTAATTATTATGTTTATATATTTACATGTAAATATTTAGCAGGTGAGTATTTTTGTATGTTTATTTACTTACAGCGCCTTTAAGAAGTCTTCATACCCCTTGAAATGTTCCCCATGTTGTCATGTTACAACCAAAACTGTCAAATGTATTTTTATTGGGATTGGATGTGATAGACCAACACAAAGTGACACCTAATTGTGAAGTGGAAGGAAAGTGATAAATGGTTTTCAACATTTGTTACCAATAAATCTGTGAAAAGTGTGGCGGCATTTGTACATACTATTCTAGATCCACAGCATCTCCACCTGGGCAGGAAGGGGGGAAATCCTCTGGAGGGCGAGGGTTTAAGAAGTCTTTTCTTTCAATACTTGCATGGAGAGATCCTTTAACCACCTCCCGCCCACCATATAAAGAAATGATGGGCGCAAGGCGGTTCTCTCGTTCTGGGAGGATGTCATACAACGTCTTGCCATTCTAACCGTGCATGCGCGGATCCGGGAGTGTGCAGCGCGGCAATTGGTGGTGCGCTGTGTCCCTCGGACACAGCGGATCACCGATCAACGGAAAGAGCTGAAGATGTCGGCTCGGTCGTGTGATCAGCTGTGTCCAATCACAGCTGATCACATGTAAATAGGAAATGCTGGTTATCGGCATTTCTCTCCTCACAAGCTGTCACACTGACAGAGGAGAGGAGAGGAGAGAGTAATCGACTTTACTCAGAGGGGACATGTACACTGATCATCAGTGTAGCCCTAGCAGTGCCACCTGTCAGTGCTCATCAGTGCCACATCAATGCCACATATCAGTGCCCATCTGAACTGCCAGTCAGCGCCACCTATCAATACCAGTCAGTGCCACATATCAGTGCCTACCAGTGCACATCAATGCCACATATAAGTGCCCATCTGAGCTGCCTTTCAGTGCCACCTATCAGTGCCAGTCAGCGCTACCTATCAGTGCCAGTCAGTGCTGCCTATCAGTGCCCGTCAGTGCTGCCTATCAGTGCTGCCTAACAGTGCCAATCAGTGTTACCTATCAGTGCCAGTCAGCGCCACCTATCAATGCCAGTCAGCGCTGCCTATCAGTGCTGCCAATCAGTGCTATCTATCGGTGCCAGTCAGTGCCTCCTATCAGTGCGCATCAGTGCCGCAGTGTCAATGCTGCCTATTAGTGCCGCCTATCAGTGCCAGTCAGTGCCACCTATCAGTGTCATATATGAGTGCTGCCTTTCAGTGCCCATCGGTGATGCCTGTCAATGCCCATCAGTGACGCCTACCAGTGCCTCCTCATCAGTGCCCATCAGTGCAGCCTATCAGTGCCCATCAGTGCAGCCTATCAGTGCCCATCAGTGCAGCCTCATTAGTGCACATCAGTGAAGGAGAAAAATCACTTATTTACAAAATGTTAAAACAAAAACTAAGAAAAAAATTTTTTTTTTCAAAATTTTCTAGTAGTTTTTGGTTTGTTTAGCAAAAAATAAAAACCCCAGAGGTGATTAAATACCACCAAAATAAAGCTTTATCTGTCTCAAAAAAATGATAAAAATTTCATATGGGTACAGTGTTGCATGACCGTGCAATTGTCATTCAAAGTGCGACAGCGCTGAAAGCTGGAAATTGGCTGGACAGGAAGGGGTATAAGTGCCTGTAGACAGGAAGGGGTATAAGTGCCCTGTAGGCAGAAAGGGGGTAGAGCGCCCGGTAGGTGAGGGGTTAAATCAGTAACAAATCAAGGAAAGTGTTCTGGGATATTTATCCTTCATCACACAGCCATGTATACAGTGTCATCAGGTAGCGTGGCCGAGCGGTCTAAGGCGCTGGATTAAGGCTCCAGTCTCTTCGGAGGCGTGGGTTCGAATCCCACCGCTGCCAGCTGGGTTTTTGTTTTGTAATGGATGCAAGTATTTCCTTCACACATCAGATGTCCCCAAGTGCAGATCCCCGGATGGACCTTTCCTGACACTTCTCATGGAGGAGAGCCCAGCGTGCCGTGTCCTGATATCAGTCATCTCCTTGTATAATGCTGTCCATGGAACCCCCAGACCATGGAGTCCCATCATCACATCCCCTTCATGGCACTGATCATCTGTCAGATGTCACATGCTGTGTCAGTGTATGGACCTACATACTACACGTGTGTGCTCCATTACATACAGTATACACTATATACTACCACCACATGGCTGCTTTCTTACATTGTATTGCATGGTGCTGTATGTTGTTACATTGTAATATAAAGGACTGTATGTTGTTACCAGGGGCGGACTGACCATTTGGAAACTCGGGCACTGCCCGAGGGCCCGGGGTCAGTAGGGGGCCCCATGAGATGCCCTGGTACCTTTTTCATAGGCTTTTTTGAGTTTGGGCAAGGACACAGGGGCCCCATGATCCCCTATTGCCCGGGGGCCCCATGAGTTGTCAGTCCTCCCCTGGTTGTTACATTGTGTTGCCTTGTATTGATTAGCGCTGTATGTTGTTACATTGTACTGTATATCGCTGTATGTTGTTATTGCACTGTATAGGACTGTATGTTGATACATTGTATTGTATAGGACTGTTACATTGTATATGTTTGATACATTGTATTGCCTAGCACTGTATGTTGTTACATTGTACTGTATATCGCTGTATGTTGTTACATTGTATTGTATAGGACTGTATGTTGATACATTGTATTGCATAGGACTGTATGTTGATACATTGTACTGTATATCACTGTATGTTGTTTACATTGTACTGTATAGGATTGTATGTTGTTACGTTGTATTGCCTAGCGCTGTATGTTGTTACATTGTATTGTATATCGCTGTATGTTGTTACATTGTATTGTGTATCGCTGTATGTTGTTACATTACTGTATAGGGTTGTATGTTGTTTACGTTGTATTGCCTAGTGCTGTATGTTGTTACATTGTATTGTACAGCTCTGTATGTTTTTACATTGCACCATGTAGAGCTGTATGTTTTTTTACATTGTATTGTATAGCACGGTATGTTATTACATTTTACTGTACAGCTCTTTATGTTGTTACATTGTACTGTATAGGATTGTATGTTGTTACATTGTACTGTATAGGATTGTATGTTGTTACATTGTATTGTCTATTGCACTGTATTTTTTACATTGTATTGTATAGCGCTGTATGTTGTTATTGTACTGTATAGGATTGTATGTTGTTACATTGTATTGTATATCGCTGTATGTTGTTACGTTGTATTGCCTAGCGCTGTATGTTTTTACATTGTTCTGTGTAGAGCTGTATGTTTGTTTTTTTTACATTGTATCGTTATAGCATGGTATGTTGTTACATTGTACTGTTCAGCTCTTTATGTTGTTACATTTGTACTGTATAAGACTGTATACTGTTACATTGTACCATGTAGAGCTTTATGTTGTTTCATTGTATTATATAGCATGGTATGTTGTTTCATTACACCGTGTGTCTGAGAATGTTGATACATTGTACTGTATAGGATTGTAACTGTATACTGTACATTGTACTGTATAGCACTTTATGTTGTTACATTGTACTGTATAGCACTTTATGTTGTTTCATTACACCGTGTGTCTCAGAATGTTGATACATTGTAACGTATTGCACTGCATGTACTGTCTATTTCAGTCTAAGGATCTATACAACAAGGTATACACATGACATTGGTGAATTATACGCTGCCACACGCTCATACATTGTACAGTACAGGAGGAGATCATTATTTGGAGTGGTGGGGTTTACATGGATGTAATATGATGCATTTTATGACATTTGGTTCCGGTGATCAGAATACAGAGTAGCCTGGACTCTGCCATGTTGTGTATTACACACTAGTATGTGCTGACTGTGTATTGTAAATGCAGCTTACGGAATACATGTCCTATAGAAGGCAGAAAATGATTTCATATCCTATGTAAAGTCCAGTACAATCTTTTATGTGATGAATAGAGGGGGGGGGGGGGAAAAGAAAAACAGGGCTCGTCCGGGATTTGAACCCGGGACCTCTCGCACCCAAAGCGAGAATCATACCCCTAGACCAACGAGCCAGCTGATAACACTCTAGATGTTCCAATCACATGACTCTACACTGGTAATATGAGCCAACATTCCTGCAGATGAGTCATCATGAAACTGAAGGCATATAGCACCAAGATCACACAGCTAAGAGCAGAGCTGAGCCCATCCTGGGAGGACTGGAAGCAGTGTGGGCTGTGTGTAGGACCCGCATGTGCTGGGAGGATGGGCCCCTTAAGGATGGCAGTACTGGTGCTCCTGATCCAGGAGTTACAAGGTAACCTTTGACTATCCAGTGTCCAGCACAAACCTTTCTCAGCTTCTTCCTCTCATTCTCTTTGGTAGCTTTCCACTACTGTCTACTAAGTTCCTGAAATTGAAGTCTTTTCAAGAAGCTCAATGGTGCTTTATTTCCTATTTTCTGGAATACATAATGTCCAAGGATGATCATTGAATGATAGGAGGGATTTGAGCAATAGTCCACCTGATCTAAGTGGTCCATGTAGAACATTTCTTTTACCATAATTGTATTGAGTAACGATAACATTAAACTGTAACCTGGATACTGAGGTTCAATGATGGGCGTTCCAAGATTATTACACATATGAGCAATAAGGATCTGAGGATGAAATACAAACCGGTTGGTGGAGTATATCTTCCAGTGGTTGAAAGTACTGGCAGTGGTGGAAAGG